GGTGGGGGTGGGACATATGCTTACAACTAGAGATTTAAAAAAACTATAAAAAAAATAAAGGAGCCCTAGCCAGTTTGGCTCAGTGGATAGCGTGTCAGCCTGCAGACCAAAGGGTCCCAGGTTCAATTCCAGTCAAGGGCACCTGCCTTGGTTGTAGGCTTCTCCCCGGCCCGGGCCCTGGTCCAGGGCTTACAGGCAGCAACCAATGGATGTGTTTCTCTCACTTCGATGTTTCTCTCTGTCTTTCCCTCTCTCTTTCACTCTCCCTAAAAATTAATGGAAAAATATCCTCAGGTGAGTGTAGGCTTCTCCCCGGCCCGGGCCCTGGTCCAGGGCTTACAGGCAGCAACCAATGGATGTGTTTCTCTCACTTCGATGTTTCTCTCTGTCTTTCCCTCTCTCTTTCACTCTCCCTAAAAATTAATGGAAAAATATCCTCAGGTGAGGATTAACAAAATTTATCCCCATCCCTTGAGTGTGAGCTGCATTTAGATACTTGCTTCAGGCGGTTGAGTTTTTTATGTTTTCCTTTCTCCTTTGTACATATGTGTAATCTCTTTCAATAATTCATAGTTTGAACACAAAAACAATGAAGACATTATTCTTTAAAAAGAAACCCACCCCCGTGCCACAGTCGTTCAGCAGACTGGCAAAACCCCAGATGTTTCGCAGACTTTTGGGGCGGGGTTGGGAAGCAGGGGGCACTTCGACTTTCTCCTTTGTTTTTCTTCTAGAAGTTTCAGGCTTCTGTGGTTTCCATTTCAGTCTCTGACTCATTTTGAGTCAAGGAGTGATGTACATGTGCAGGCTCATTCTTTGCACGTGGATATTACAATTGTTTCAATACCATTGGTTGCTTTTGCAACTCTGCTAAAAATCACTCCACTCTCTCTGAATGCGTCTTGTTCTGAGCTGTCTCTCCTCTCCCATTGATCCATATTTCTACCCTTTGTCAATACAACACTATCTCTATTACTGTAGTTTTTAAAGATGTTTTTATTGATTTTAGAAAGAGTGGAAGAAGGAGAGGGAGAGAGAGAGAGAGAGAGAGAATCTTTGGCTGCCTCCTGCACGCCCCCTAATGGGGATCGAGCCTGCAACCTGGGCATGTACCCTTAGCGGGATTCGAACTAGAGACCTTTTGGTGCATGAGATGATGCCTAACCAACTGGGCCACACTGGCCGGGACCCTGTAGTTTCATAGTAAATGTTGACCCCGTACATCTATAGTCGGTCTGAAAGGACCTCTCAGGTGTCGGCAGCGCACGGTTACTCTGCTGACGCAGCCGTCTTGTCGGTGCAGGTGGCTGCTGGGAGGACTGGTAGCCGGTGTCTTCACGTGCTCCTTGACCATCACGATTGCCTGTAAGTCACCGTGTCCCGAGTGGCCTCTCTGATTCCTGGGCTCCCGTCCAATGTCGGTCATTCTGATGTATTTTCTCTCCCTCATCCAAGATGTTGTCAAGTCCCTGCTGCTCAGCCTTGCCAGCTACTTCAACGCCGGCCCCTGCGCTCGGTGAGTGTTTGCCGGGGTCCAGCCCCAGCAGGTCCAGGGGTCCCCAAAGGTGTGGATGGAGTCGGCGAAGAAGGAATGACACGGAGACAGCGTTCAGTTGATCAGCAGCCTAGGCAGGATCTCTAGCCAAGTTCTAGTCAGGATCTCCAGTGAAGTTCTGGTTAGGATCTCCAGCCAGGGTCTGTGGCCATGTTCTCTTGCTAGGTTCTCCAGCCAGGTTCTCCAGGTTCTCCAGCCAGGTTCTGTAGCCATGTTCCCTCGCTAGGTTCTCCAGCCAGGTTCAGTCACCAGGTTCTAGTCAGGTTCTCTTACCATGTTCCATCCAGGTTCTGTAGCCAGGTTCTGTCTCTAGGTTCTTTTGCCATGTTCTCTCTCTAGGTTCTGTCTCTAGGTTCTGTGTCTATTTCTAAGTATCTTAATTCTTTTGTTTCAATGGTAAATGGGATTGCTTTTTTAGATTCTCTTTCTGAGAGTTCATTATTGGTGTATAAAAATGCCAATAGATTCCTAAGTATTAATTTTCTATCCTTTTTGAAACAGCAAGGATGGACTGGCTCCCGGCAAGTGTTGCCTCATTACCCTCGTCTGCGCCGCGGTCCTAGAGCCCTCCGGCCTGCGTGATGCCAGCGAGGACCGTGGGGAAAGGCCCTGGCTGCTGTGTCCCGACAAAGGCTTTCTCTTGCCACTTACATCTGACAGTCTTATCCTGTCTTTAAAGCCTTGCATCAAATAGGTAGTTAATGTTTAAGGCAGCGGGACTTAGGACATGATGTGAACTTTAATTTTTAAATAGTTCTAAAGGGCTTTAGTAGATCCATAGCCCTGCACTTTAAAAATACATCCTATGAGGAAGCCTTTTTTCTTACCGTTTCCCCAATAACTGGCACCCTGCCCGGGGAAATGATCCCGGTGACCGGTGCTGATGTCCCTGCCACCCTCAGGCAGGGGACCGTTGCCCTGGCTGCAGGCTGCAGGCTCAGCATATTCGGAGGGTGGCTGGGACAAGGGAGTCGGGGGGTGGGGGGAAGGCTTGCAGAATGGCAAACAGCCTGCGAAGCCCCATTCCTTGAAGATGGATGTGTTAATTACCTTCCCTTCAGCATGCCGCCTGAGCGGGACCAACTCCGGGGGCTGCAGCCTGAGGCCTGCATTCAAATGTGCCCTCTCCACGCTTCATGGCCCTGTTCACGGGATCCCAGTTAATTCTGTGATCACAGTGAGGCCGAGAGAGATTTAATTTGTTGAGAGCTCCAGCCGATATCGATTTCCTGGCACTTTAAGCGATGCTTCCCCTGAGTCTCCTGGCATTCCAGGTTTCCGGGTGCAGGCGCCCATAGGGCTAAGTTTTGTCTAATCTGATAGTTAGGAAACTGGGTCCTGAGGTTACCTGAGAAGTCCTGGTAAATGAATGGCATTTGTTTAAAGTTCTTCTAAGGTACCCTCCCTCCTCCCCTGGCTGTGGTCGCTCTCCACCTCATGGGGCATTAGCCAGGGGTCTGCTTGTGAGCTGGGAGGTCTGTGTGTTAGTCAGGACTGGCCTGGCCGACAGACAATGCCTGAACTGAAGAATCCACCAGAGGAGTCATTGCGTAGCCCAGCTTTCAGAAGGGAAGGCATTC